GGGGTGAACACTGAGCACAGCCAGYTCTGSGATTCCAAACTCACACCCCAGACCAGAGGAGTGGGAACAACCCACCCACTTCAAAGCAAACAGGCTGCAATTTCCCCCATCAGCAGTCTGCAAAACCACCGTGTTTGTGTCTTGCCCACGTCCTGCCAGTCCTGCTGCTCTGATTTAGCAATCAGCGAGCTGCACTTCGTGCAACACATCTGGGCAGTTGCACAATTCCTGTCTTTTCTCAGTTCATGCCACCTCAGAGGGTGCTGATGAAACAGCCCCAGAGCAGTTCTGCCAAGCAGGTGTGAGCTCAGGAGTCTGGACACAGCCTRRCWCCAAGGCCTGGCTTAAGTCAAGCACTTTGGATTAATCTGCACCTCTGTGTTCTACTCAATAGTTTGTGACTATGTGTGAACAACCAACTTTAAATCAAACAGTCCCTGAACAGCTTTTGTCAGTTTAACTGGTTTAGTTGTCACTTTAACCGGTTTAGTTGTCAGTTTAACCAGTTTAATCAGTTTAGTTGCCACTTAAACAAGCTTGTCACTTTAACCAGCTTAGTCATCACTTTAACCAGTTTAGTCATTACTTTAACCAGTTTGTCACTTTAATCAATTTAGTTGTCACTTTAACCAGCTTAGTCGCCACTTTAACTAGTTTAATCATCACTTGAAACAGTTTAGTCACCACTTTAACCAGTTTGCCACTTTAACCAGTTTAGTTGTTACTTTAACTAGCTTAGTCACCACTTTAACCAGTTTAGTTGCCACTTTAACCAGTTTGTCACTTTAACCAGTTTAGCCGCCACTTTAACCAGTTTAGTCATCACTTTAACCAGTTTGTGTTCTATGCTCACGACACTCAAGGTGAAGGGTTTAACCCTTTGGTGGCCAGACCAGGAGCCCACAGGCAGTGACCACAGCTCAGGTGAGGGGTGGGATGACCCCACAGTTTGGGATCACTTGGCTCCCTTCCCAGGGATTCAATGGAGGCAAACCTGAGCCTCCAGCACTCCAGCTGCCCACACTGCTCAGGGARACACACAGGCACCTCTGCAATTTTAGTGCAGAGCATCAAAACAGCAATTTGTGGACAGAATCTAATAAAAGATCAATGCTGTGYGGTCAAAACCACCAGAAACAGGCTCCACCAGCCTCTTCCTGSCACACCTGTTGTTCTTCTGGCCAAAGAAACTTCCAGCAAGGGCCTTTACCTGGCTGTTGATGGGATTGTTGTCACCGAACACCAGCCAGCCCCCAATGCAGGCTGCAAGGAAAGAATGGAATGGGATTTTTTTCCCCTGCAGCTGGGACTGCGCTGCCAGGAGCCCCTTGTAGGTGAACACGAAATAGGCCAAGTTCCGGGAATGAGCGTACGTAGCCTGGGCAATGGATTTCAGTTTGTCCCTTAAACTGAAGGAAAGAAACACACAGTTAGGAGAGGGAAAAGGCTGGAACCCTGCAYTCATTCAGCCTGGTCACTACACTGACCCCCACTGATGTCCTGTGCATCCCAGGAATGTCTGGGGAGGGAGGAGAAATCCCCTCACCTGTGGCTCACCCCTGAGAGCACAGCCCTACTCAGACCATGGACTGTGCCTCTGACTAATTCTATGCCTATTAAAACAGCCCTTTTAAGTGGGTTTTTTGTGTTCTTTTTTTGCTAAATGCAAACCTCAGGCATTCAGGGAATGGCACAACATGCTCTGCTACAGCCTGGGTTTCCGTATTTCAACACAGAACAGGATGTTGCTGGTTCTCATCAACCATTCCATGAGTGATTAACCCTCTCAAATATACCCAGTGTGTGCCTCACTATCATCAGAACAAGGCTCAACCACGGTTCACATATCCTTCTGCTTTTTAAACCCTCTGGAAACATGAAACATGGACAGCTGGAATGAAAACGTTCTAAGCAGAAACACAGAAATGCARAATTAGGGCTCATACCTTCCACTCTTGAACAGGAAAGTCATCACCAGGGCGTGTGGGGCACGGATTTTGGCTCCATAACTGCAGAAGTGGACAGGTAAGTCATAGATTTTGTTTTATACTATGAAATTACTGTATTCCTATTCTGACAGCCGAAAAACGAGGCGTAGACAAGTATCTGTTACTTTTAAACCAGCCCAGCACTMCAGCAAACGGGGAGGAGCCCAGCCAGAGGGAGAAGAGCACACACACCACAGMGAGCCAGGCCCGAAGGGGACCCCAAACCCAGTTCAAACCACCCCAACTGCAGGTGAGGCAGGCGGAATCGCCTCACCCGCACACCCGCCACAGCATCCCCGGCCTCCCCACCGACCGGGGGACCGAGACCCCGCCGCCCCGGGCCCGACACTCACACGGCACCATTGCGGAAGCCCTTGAGGACGGCGAGCGCGGCGTGGTAGCGGCGCTGCTGCAGGAACAGGTTGACGGCRCGGAGAAGAGCTCGAAGGCGCTCAGCACCGCCCGCCATGGCCCCGCCGGCCACGGCACCCTGCCGCACGCTGCTTCCGGGGGCGGCGCCCCGCCCGCCGCGCCCATAGGCTACCGCTCCTGTCAATCAGAACTCTCGACCAATAGGCAGTAACACGTGTACCTCTCATTGGTGCGGAGTGCTTACCATTCAGCCAATGGGAATCGAGCGAGGCGTCCCACCCCTCCCGCTCCGTGAGGGCGGCGGGCGCCGCTGCGAGCCCGGCCCGGGCAGCCCSGTCATGGGCCGGGGGCTGTGGCCGCACCGAGAGCCCGAGCGGGGCAGGGGCGGCCGCCGGGCGGTCCCTGCCCGGTCCCCGCGGGCTGTCACAGTGCCGCTCCGCCGTGCCCTGAGTTGAACACGACCCGCCCCCGGGGCCTCCCCCGCCCTTCCCGCGCTGTGGGTCCGTAGCGGGCGGCGAGCGCCCCCTGGTGGCGCCGCTGCCGCCGCCGCTCCAAGATGGCGCAGGCGATCTTCGAGGCGCTGGAAGGTAACGGGGCCAGACCGGGGCCGCGCCGGGACCGCCCGGGCCGCGGCGACAGCCGGGGTGCGCGACTCCYGCTCCTCCGAGCTTCCCCTGCCCRGCGCCGGCGCCGCGCGGGACGCGGRGCCATGGCGGGGCTGCCCGTGAGGCCCGGCCCGGTGCGGCGTGGGGCGCTCCCGGTAGCCCCGGGCTGTCTCCCGCGCTGYTCCTCCGCTCCCCGCACCGCGGACGCAGCTGCGGTTCCGCCGGCAGCTCCCGCCGCAGCCGGGGYTCGCCACGCCGTCCCTGGCTCCCTGCGGCACCACTGTCACCTCCGGTCCCCCGGCCCCGGGTCACCTCCTGCCTGCGCGCCGCGGCATCCCCGTTCCGCCCATCGCAGTGCGCTGTGCCCCGGGTAGCCCTCGTTAGCCACGGGCCCTGTGCTCGGTGCCTCGCATCCCAAYTCTGCCCCAAGGCACCTCATCCTGTCCGTGTGCCCTGCACGTTGGGGCACTTCCATCATCCCCACCTCTGTGCCCAGGAAACAGGGTCACCCRTCCCCAGGGCACCCCTTCGCTCCTGTATCTCCCCTATCCCAGCACTTTGGGATGCCCTCTGCATGCTGGGCTCCCTGTCTTTCCACACCCCAGGCTTACACTGCTGTGCCATGCTCTGTGCCAGCCCCAGCGATAGTGCCCGGGTGGCTGCTGGCCCCTGCATGTGTATTTTGAGGGCACAGCCCGGGCACTGCCCATTGTGTGGGTGAGCGGGTTTCGCTTAAATTTATCTCAGTTTAGAGCTGGGACACTGTTACCGCCAGGTGCCATCTGAGAGAGACCCTTGGCACATCAAGCTATGGGACTGGGCTCAGGGTCAACCTGAATAGAGAAACTATTTTACAGACATTGATTTCTCAAATTGGATTACATATATATTTGTGTTTACGTGGGGGGATGCCACTGCCTGGAAGTCCTGGCGTCAGGATTGTCACCTGTACTTTCAGACATCACCTGTCTCACAGCAGCAGAGAGAGGAGCAGAGAATAATATTGTTCTCTACTTGGTGCATCTGCCAGCACCCTGTGTAGAATCAGGTCCCTATTTCCTCACTGCAATCAGCTCCTCATTGTGGGRGTTCCTTGCAGCATTCRGGACAGCAAAGCTTTTTAGCAAATTAAAAAAGTGTGGKTTTTTTTTWAGCCCACAGCAGTTGGCAGCTTTTAGTGTCTGARCTTGTTTGTTTTGTCTTGTTGATTGGATTRCAAGTYGATGGTGACCGGGCATTCTTGGAGCAGCCTGGTCTCTGGGTGCTGCAGGGCACTGGTGCATCTTCACCTGTCACTAGAGCACCTGGTGCTGGTGTCAGACAGAAAAACTTTATCACGAGGGCAAATTAGCACCTGGGTGACATGGACAGTCTTGTTTCATTTCAATCTGAGAGAAATTTGAAAGGGAAAAAAAACCAAAAAACCAAACGCCACAGATCAGTAGTCCTGTGCTTTTATCCCAGCTTCCCCAAACCACCTTGGTTTTGTCAGGCTCTGGGCACCTCAGCTCCTGCTGCTGCTRGGAGGGAGTGAGCTGGGTTTTTAAATGACTGAAGAGCATCCTGCAGACTGGTGCTGGCTGTAGGCAGGGCAGGGTTGATCCAGAGCTTTCTCCTGGAGTCTGTGGATGGTTGTGAGTGGCAGCCGTGTAACCAAGTAACTGCCAGCCTGTCTTTACAGGTTGCTAACCATGACCTCGGGGGTTTTCCTCTGGAAAGTGTGGTGTTGGGCAGTTACTCAGTGAAGTGCAGGGACTCTGAATTGCCATATAAACATTTCTGTTATCCTTGGCCATTTTTCTCTGTCAGGAGGCTGAGTGCAACACTGACAATGTTGCTGCATCATTCAGGTCTAGGCCTCTCCTCAAGCTTCTTCCTCCTAGTGGGATCAAGGCAATTGTTTGTCTTTTTTCTTGGAAGATCTGAGGGTGTGCCAGAAGGAAACCCAGTTGTCCAGTGCCAAGCACATCAGGAGTGGCACTGTTTGTGCAATCTTAATTATCCCCATGCTATATTTCACCTGTATTTTTGATCCCTTTTTCCTTTTAGGTTTTTGTTGGTTTTTTTTTTGCTAGAGAAGGGCTGTTCCATTTCACTCTSTGCTTTGGCTGTGCCATCAGAAGCCTGCAGTGCTACCTTTGCAGTTGACCAGAGGYGATTTATGCAGGAGGAGGTGTATTTTAGAGCAGGGTTTTGGCTGGAGTGAGGAAATCCTCCCGGGAGTGTTTCCAGCAGGGTTCTGCTGATGGAGCTGACCTGCAGGGCTGGCTCCAGCTCTCCCTGCAAGCCAAGGCTTGCAGAACTGGACCTGCAGCTTTGCTGTGCCTCTGTGATCTGTGGGAAGGGCTTCCAATAGGCATGGTGGGAATTTTATGGTAGTGTGTGATGTAGTGGGATCAGCTACCCGTGCAGGATGGTGCTCTGCTCTCTCCAGGGACACAGCAGGGTTTGCAACCTCTTGTTATTGAAAGGATGGAAAACATGTTCACAGAGTGTTAATAAGATGTGCCCCACACTGGCATACAACCCTGCCATTSTGTTTGCTTCATTCATGGGTTCCTTGTCATAAAAGAGTGGTAGGAAGGAGTGGTGCATAAAAATCACCCCTTTTCACTTGTTTTGTTCCAAATCAGATTGCCCTATGTGTCTGTATATTCAATTTGTAAAAAGAAAGAGTTTGTCATGCTTAATCCACAGTCACATGCTGCTGGCCAAGTTGTCTCCCTAGATGAGCAATCTCAATCTCCTGCATTTATCTGGCATATTATAAAACATTTTAGCTGTAGTGAAAAATGTTTGTGCCAAAGCAAGTAAGCTGATTCTGACAACAAATCTGACTGGGTGTGTGTGCCCTGTGTCTGATAAGATGTGGGAATGATGGCCCTGAAAACAGGGAGGCATTTGTGACACTGCTGCTGGGAGAGCTGCTGCACACAAGGATTCTGTCTGCCTCGAGCTCAGTGTCTGTGCTGCATCCCCAGGCAGATCCACTCAAGCTGCTGCCCTGTGACATCCCCACATTCCCTGTGACATTCTCAGCTCTTGTCATTCCCACTGTTATAAGCATCCTTCCTCTCTGCACAAAAGCCCTCTTTGGGCTTTTCTTGCCCTTCTCTTCTTGCACCAAAGGAGTTGTGGACACAGGTGGGAACGTTGCTGTTGTGTGGTAGTTGATGCTGTGAGTACAGGGTGAGAAACAGAGTGGCTCTGGGAGGAGAGAGCAGCAGCTGGAGAGTGGCTTCCCTCCAAGACATGAGAGTCCACTCCATTTGGCTGTRTTCAGTTTACCATCCGTGCTTGTGTCTCCTTCCAGGAATGGATAATCAGACAGTGCTGGCTGTGCAGTCCTTACTGGATGGGCAAGGAGGGGTGACGGATCCGTCTGCTCCAAATGTCAACTCCTCTGCTGCCATCCAGCCCATGGGTGAGTCCTGGTGGTACTGGGAGAGAGGAGAGGGGCGGGAGGGCTGCACATCTGCCATGGAGAGTGCACAGCTGGCTGAACAGTTGGGTGTGTAGGGTGCTGCTATGAGTGTTGTGAGCCCTCAGGAGGAAGGGACAAGTGCCCAAGTGAGCAGTGGTGTTTTTGGAGATGGCCATGATAGCAGACTTGACCATGTGCTTCCAATAAAGGCACAAAGGGAGGGAGAAGCCACTGTCCCCGTCACTGGTGCTTGTTACTGTTCTCATTTTTTATCTAATATCCTCTCCTTATCCTTGGGAGATGCACAAGTGCTMCAGTCCTGGAGCATCTCTGTGTGAATGAAAATGGGAACAGGTCATTTATGTGCACATGGACCCTCACAGTGCTGGACTAGAACTTGCTGGGTGGACATGGAGTTATCCCTTAAGGAGTTGCAGTTTGTGTCCCTCAAAATGGTCACCTTCAGGCTGTGACTCAGACAGGAGGAACAGCCTTGTGAGTCTGGATGGAGTGCAGATGGTGTGTGGTTTGCTAACGCTGCAGATTTCAGCTGGGACGTGTAACTGGGTTGTCTTCTTTCTGCTTCTGACATGGAGCAGAAGTGCCAAAACCCAGCAGTGTGGTGGAGGGGTGGCTTTAGGACAACCTGACTGTGACTCAGTGCCCTGATCCAAGTTRCTCCTCTTCCTTTGTGCGATCTGAGTAATAAAATCTGCCTCAGCCAGCTTAACAGCGATGCTTTGGAAGGAGCTGCTTTGATTAAAAGCAGAGGGTGCTACAGGAGCATGGTTGTGTTGGTTGTTCTGTCTTTGGGATGAGAAGATAGACGGTGGGATTAACGTGTCCCAGGGAGACAGTGGGGTTTGTATGGGAGCAGGGCTGAGATGGGTTCAATCACATCACTTGTCTTTGGGGAGAGCTTGGGCTTGGGGAGGAGGGATAGCTTGGTCCTTGCAGCTCATTTTTCATAATGATGATGTCCTCGAAGTGCTGAAATCCCAAAGGTGCCTGTTACCCTACACTGTGATTGCTGGGTGGAGCCCTGGGGAATGCAGCAGTAGGCCTGAAGCTCTGCYCCTCTTCATTGCAGATGATGAAGATGTGTTCCTGTGTGGGAAGTGTAAGA